AAACAGGCCGACTAGGTCATCGAACCCTAAAGCCCGATTCGCCTCCGTCAACCCCTCTACACCAACCAAAGATCTCCACTCTACCTTCGGACCTCTCCAACTCCTCTGACCTTCTTCCTAGCTCTCATCGCTTCTTCCGATTCCAAAGCATACGCTGACATCTCCCCCACTCGCCTCTTCCAAAGCCTTAGCCGATGCCTGATCTTACCCATCACCGGTGATCGAAGCTTCCCCAGAGCCTGTTTGCTTTTCCCTTCCTAGTCGACACCCAGAACCGAAACTCCTGCAGTAAGATAGGGATTAATTTGGGTTTAATGTTAATAACAGTTTTTATTATTAATATTAACACTGAAACGACAATGACTTGAACAAAGCCAGGGACTTAATTTGGATAGCATGGAACCTTAATTGAACATTAAATAAATGCAAATTTGAATGATTAAATAAAAGACTTAATTCAAACTCAATCAAAATGGATCTAAATTGGACAAGACTACAATGTATATGAAATCAAATTGGACTCAGATTTGAACTTTATCTGGACATTGCAGAGGACTTGAACTCAAACGGGCAATAAGGAATTGAACTTTAAACTCAATTATTTACAATCATGAAAATCAATTGAACATCAATGTTGATAGATGCACAATTATAATCAAGATGCAAGTGGACATGTAAAATTTATGAATAAAGAATATGCAGTATAATGATCTATTCAATAATGCAACAAAGGATTTTCAACCTACATCTAAGTAGCATGATACCCGTAGTGTCCATATTAGTTAGTCTACAAGTTCATGTTAAGAAACTGGGGGGCACTAATGAAACAAGCTCCTAAATGAATATGGATGCTCTCAAAGATAAGGAAGAACTTGTAATAAACAAGTATCCAAATACGAACTTGCAAGTCGTTACTCCAAACTCCTTCAAGCATAATTCATTCATAAAAGGATAATGAAACTCAATGCAATTAGGTGATTCGAAATAATTGCAAAAGAACTACAGGGATATATAGTGAATATGATGACTTTGACAAGTAGCTAGGAACTTGCAATACATAGAGAATGGATCACCTATGAATGGTGATAATACACATACCATGAATACAATAGCTTACCAATGGTCATAAATAAGGAATACATTGTATTTTGTAAGTGGCGGTAGGAGATATGTTGCAGATACGACAAGTCTCCAATGCACACGAATATTCATGTGAAGCGTTAATTTGCAGGCAATGATGGAGGATCATTTGTATAAAGATTAATATACTCATAAGTGGCAATCATTAACTGCAAAACAAGCGTAATTATTCTCTTGTGAATGATGACAGTGGACAAGCTACAAATCTGAAAACCTCCCTATGACCAATGTCAACTGTCTTGCAAGTATACATACTACATAACAATCCTTACGAACACTGGAAGATACGCAAGTAAATGTGACAGTCCACTAATCAAACATACCAGTTTCCCGCAAAAAAAAAAAAATTCAATGACACTGTAGGAGACCTATGCCACATTCAACATGTCAGTTGCAAATAGAAGGATTCGATATGCAGTGAAAACAATAATATGATATATCTAGATGCATTTGAGTGAATGTCGACACACAATGCATTGCCCCCATTAGAGCTAATGATCAATATTTGACAAATGTGCTGTTAAAAATTAATGCGAAGCTTGGTGGCTCAAACTTGCAATTATAAACAAAAATATGCATACTATTCCAACCATTTTGATGGTCACAACAATTATTTTAGGAATGGATGCCTCACATAGCTCTCCCAGACGGTTTTATGTACCTTCAATTGATGTAGTTATCAATTCGAAGCGGTGGCCCCTGATTTCGACATATAGGGTAGCAGTAAGGACACAGTCATCCAAGGTTAAATTGACTTGTTCTTTCTTTAAACCAATAACAGAAAATGATGATGATGGCATAACCAATGAATTGCTTGTTGATTTTTATATGAATTCTGGGAAGAGAAAGCCAGGTCAAATCAATATTTGCAGGGATGAAGTGAGTGAGTCTTAGTCCAACCAAGTTCTCAATGTCATGATTGAGTAAGATTATTGAGACTTGCAAGTTTCTGATGAATGGGTGACCCTTAAGCTTACATTGATGGTTGTATAAAACTCAAAGGTGAAGGATATACAGTGTACACCAATTCCTATGAGCCGTTGCAGGAGTCCCGCTATGTACACAAAATATCATCTACAAACAAAATGCCAGATGACTTCAACTAATGTAAATGCCTACAGGCCACTGAAGGAGGCCCGTTATACATTCAACTTGCTATATGCGAGTAAATGTGAAAGAACTACAGTAGATGAAAGCATCTACAACAATAGTAGGAGATTCGTTAGTGAACAACAAGCTACCTGCAGAAAGTAACAAGCAGTGCATGACAGTCTACCTATACGAAACGAAAAAATGACCACAGTACGACATTACGCCACCGGATCCGCAACACTCATACAAGAGAACATAAGGTGTGTACTAGCTCCCAAATAGAACGTTGTGTTCAAGTGACAGCTGACCATACAATTGACTAGCATTAATTATTTTCAAAATGTCCCCGCACGTGCACTACGATATATATACACATAAAAACAAAGAGATGCATGTGTAATCATAAACTAGCATGGGCCCGGGCGAGCATGTTACGGGTACACACATGACGTCTAGGGATGCTTCACGGGTCAATAAATGAAATCAAGTTCGAGCTCATTCCTTCAATGAGGGTAAATAGGAGTTGACACAGATCAAACCATCAAACATATATACGGTTGCGGTATCATCCGATATATTTGTTTTAATATGTTCATATTAGGCCTTCAAGGCCTATGAATAGAAAAAAAATCATTAAATAAAATCATACAACCGACGAACCGATCCTCTATTGGCAAGTTGATAGGGTCGACAAGGTTTAGTCAATGAAAATACTCGTACACTCCGATGATGACCGTGTTGAATGTAGATCTCAATCGAAGGAGTTAACTCCAAATATTCTCAAAATACCACTCAAATGCTCGAAAGTCCAAAATCCAAAAATTTCAAAATCCAAATGTTTAAAATTGAAATTCAACTATTAATCACTTGAAGCAAAATTCATCCACCCTCCGTAACAGTTTGTTGAGGTGGACAAATATGAAAATAAACTCAACTCACAATGAGCCAATGTCTGGTCAAGAATATCACTAAGATTCATTTTCAAACAATCTCTTGCCAGTAAGAACGTGGCATGTGTACTCTAACCTGCGGTTTTTTCTGCCAAATAGCACTGCAGGTAAACAGTTATGACCGAGGCCCTCTTAACTTAGTGGTTTGCCGCCAAATGGCACCATCAAATTACGATTATGGCTAGAGCCCATAAGCTCCCCTATGACATTAAATCCTTGAGATATGAATCAATAGAACATAATCGATTGGGCACAAATCCCTCTATTAGTTAAGGTGAATTCAAAATTTTTCCCTTAGACAAATACTCACCCCGGGCCTACAAGGTGCCCTTGGACGAAGCAACCATGGCTGCCCACAAGGATCCTTCTGTCAGGTTGGGTCGACTACCTCCTTTGACTAAGTAGACCAGGGACCATGATGACCTGGGACGACGGAACCATATGATATTGATTGGGTTCATCATCAATTCCCCCATCATTCACTTTAAGTGCAAGATAGTGAAATTTCCAATTTTAAATATCAACCCTTCTAGTTCCATGTACCTAAATGTCCATGCTGCTACTATATGTCATATAACTCGTATTTTTTACGTATCTGATTGACGACTAACCTTAATCGAAAGTTCTCTCTCATTATCTGGAGGGGTAATTAACTATAGGGGCTTGCACCTATAGGTCAAATCATAAAGTCCTTACAAAATGAGGGTGAAATATCTGGGTAGTGTCTTATTTACAAACCCAATATGCCTTCCGAAAATTTACCCCGGAACTTAATCTATAAACTCCCCCCGAAAAGCAGCGGGGTGGCCGGGCCGAATTTTCGGAGCCCACATGGTGCAACATTAATTTTCGTCTTTCCACCTTGAGGATAAGGTGTTTCTTTGGAAGCGGGGTATTGATACGCCTGGACCGGTCTAGGAGGGATTGGTCCAGCCGACCCAACCCTTGGGCCGGCTACACACCTATAGCAAGTGAAAGCCTATTGACCCGCAGGCTCAATTGGCTGTCCCCTTGGGGGTGGACTCCACAGCTTAGGGAAGAGAGAGGGGGGCTGTTTAGGCCTTTTGGTTATATTTAATGTTTTGTTTTAATTAGGAGTTCACATTAGGGTTAGGGCATGCAAAATTATTGTGGTTGTTTTTCTTCTTTGAGTTGGTATTTTGAGCTCTAGCGGCATCTAGGAATTGAGAGAGATAGATCATCCTACTGTCGAATTGAGGATCGATTGTATCTTGGTATTTTCCTTCCGTTATCTTGATTATTGCAATAAAAACTACTATTTTTTTGTTTTTTTTGGAGTTGTGAATATTTCTCACTATTTGGGCCAATATTGTTAGGTTTTACTTGAGATCTTCAAGTATTTCCTAACATCATGATAATCAAAATTTTATCTATATTGTTAACAAAATATGCTTTTTCATGAAAGGGCTAGAACTGGGAAGATTTTTTTTTAAGAATATTTTCATTACTGATGTTATCAATGACAAACAGTTGGCCGATATCTTTAGCAAGCCTTTAGGATCTCTCTGTTTTCAAATTATGTGAGAATAGTTTATATATATGCTCCATCTAGAGAAACAGTGTTAGCGGAGAAGGAAAGGTGCTCTATTTGTTTGTTGTACAAAAGAAGATTAGAGGTGGCTCACTTTTTTATCAGTTATTAATTTAACTGCATAAGCTACTTGTTTTGGGGCACTTTAATGGGACCGATTCTTAAAGTTAAACTCATAATAAATTTGAATATTAATTGTATTTTCATAATATTCCTTTTATATTGTCCTAAACTCTGCTGGAAGATTAATATTTTCTTTTTCACAGATGTATATCAGCGGTAATCCAACCAATATTGCAAATCCTATTAAAGATGTAAGTGTTCAGATTGATATTAAAGCAACAGGCGGAAGGCTTAGACCATCTCGAACCGAAAATCTCATTTTTCACTTCAAAATGCAGTGAAACCAAAAAAATGCCGTGTTTCATCAGTGCGACGTCAATATTGGCGTCGCACTGTTCATCCGCAATCAAATGACGTCAAAAATGGCGATCGGTTGGAGCAAAGCAAGAACGACAAACAAGTGTTTGCCGTTCGGTTGGAGATGCCCTTACACCATTCCAGACTACTCTTTGTGAGATACTTCCGTATCAATCTTTGGAGCTTTTTGATAAGCATTACTTGGAAACGTTCAATGTACAAGACATACAGTTGATATGTTGCCAATCTGATTCCAGCACGATATGGCTGGTTCCTCCTGTGATTCAACAGCGATATATCAGATCTCTGAACAGTACCTTGGATTTTATTTTCACATGGGTTTTTATGAGGGAGAGACCTAAAGGAAAGGAAGCTGTTAAATCTGAATCATTTATTGAACAAAGCCCAGATGATTTGAAGCAAGTTCTTAATGGACAGAAAATAGTACTAGATTACTGAATGCATATCCTAGATATTTCCGAGTTACCAGTTCTGGTGAAGTGCAGCGCCTTGAGCAGACTGTATGATGAGTTTATTATTACTAGTGAAGCAGATTATAATTATATTTTTTAGAAATGCACTATTGTCCATTAATTAATTCGGTGTTCTAAATTCATATTTGAATTTTCAGGACATTTCTGTGAGCGGTGATCTTTTTCTCAACCATGGAAGTCCATCATGGTGGTCATTTCATGATGCCAATGCCTTGCGCAAAATGGAATGTGAAGGGATGAGTGGACCACTTGCTATTGTTGTTTCTGAGGAGACCCCACGTATGCATCTAGCACTTACAGTTGCATTTTTTTTTACTTGAGTCCAGATATTTTCTAATTTTCATGGATAAATATTAGCACCTTTTAATAGTATATCTGCATGTGGTACTAAGAAGCCCGAAATGCCCAAACAGTGGTTTGTTTTATATTTTAAAATTTTCAGGGCCTATGATTGGTACAAATCATTTGGTTCAATCCTTCAATTGTTCAATTTGACTTGCCCTATACAAAATGTTAATGGTTATGAATGGAAAATGTAACATAAGCCTTTTTAAGTCCCTCCCTCGTGCAGTTTACGGCAACAATGATGTAAATTCAGCTTTAGTGTTAAACTAATAATATATTAATGAGCTAACTGATTATATAATAAGCCATTAACTTTATCCAAAGAACTCTGCATTTGTTGTAAAGCAAAATATTAAGTAGTGAACCTTGAATGGTTGCAAAATGGCAACAATCGGTAGAGGATGAACTTGGAGTAGCTTTGATACTTGTGTATCTTCACACCCCATCCCCCCCTAAAATTTTGTGACTAGAATTAAGATGGTGTTCAATTTAATTTCTGTTACAATTTTTAATTTTAATTAATATATTAAACTTTAAATTTAAATTAATTTTATTTGCATTTTTTTAGATTAAATAATTAAATTATGTATATGCAAATCATTCGCCCTACAGAACACTAAACCATGTCAATTGCCACAAAATGGATTGGATGCCTTGTTGCTAGTATGATTACCTTTATAGTCTAATTATGGTTAAACCTTAAATATATTAACTTGTATATTATAAATTACAATATAATTTGAATAACATGTCATCATTCGTTTAAGTTTTTCTTTTTTGTTTGATTAATACATTTGAATGATAAAAGTCATATATTTCATATATTAACTTGTGTATCTTCACACCCCATGTAATGTATTTTTTAGATGATTGAACTGCCTGATTAGCTTCTTGTAAATTTGGTTAGATGTTGTATGTAATAACATTGAAAGCCGTTTTCTTATTCATGATAGATGAGGAATATGACATTAGAGCCATGTAAGCAATGTTTTATAGCATTTAATGCTCTTGAATAGTACTCAACTAGGCATATGCATGATTTAAAATTACATAATTAGAGACTCATCTTAACACGATAAAACCAATGAGACTTGCGCTTCAAGATTGAGGTGCGCTACTGCGCTTCAATGAATGCTTTTAAAAAAAAAAAAAAAACCCAATGAGACTTGCGCTTCAAGATTGAGGTGCGCTTCAATGAATGCTTCTAATAGTCACACTTTGAATTTTTATGATTTTACTTTAATATTAATAAATTATTTATTATTTCTTTTTTTATTAATTTAATAGTTTAATTATGAGGCTTATGCACCGCCGTACAAAAATATAGTGCCTATATGTATCCAATTACGCATTTTCAAACCTCGTGTAGATAAAATTCAGTAATTAGTATTTCTAGCTGTGAAGAATCTTGAAAAGAGTAGAATAATTGTAGAATGCCTTATTCCTGTTCCAGCAAATATGAGAGATTAAGACAACAGTTTATTTTCTTAAGTTAGTGAATTGTTTCTGAACGAGTTATACCTCAATTATCTAACTCTTACTAGTATCATTTCGTACTTTTCTATACCTTTTCTTACTAGGATATCTTAAATGATCATTTTGCAACTTTATTCATTGCTGACAAGGACATTTGGTATTGTACTTGCTTATATGTGTACTAATTTGTCCGTTTTTTTTAGTAAGGTGAGGCATTTTGATGATATGAATGTCTGATTCTACTGAATGATGCCTTCAAGACCAAAATTCTGTTAAAAAGGTAAATTGAGATCTGCTTGAACAGTGTCTATTTCATTTTAAGCATTTGATCTGTCCCTGCTGTAGCTGTTTAAGAATAACATGCATAAGCCAACTCTTGCTCACAAACCTATTGATTCATTGTCCATCTTTGGTTGTAAATAAATAATATTTGAAAATTTTTTATGATTCTGAACTTGTACTTATTATACTAATTCTTGCCTTTTCTGCAATTTGTAAAATTTTATGCAAATATTAACTGAAATTTGGAGTAATGAATTTATAAGAACTTTTTTATTTTTGCTACTTCCAGAGGGCATTAATGGTGAAACCCTAAGCAAGTTCAGTATATGGAGTCTTTACATAACTTTTGTTCTAGCAGTTGGCCGCTTTATCAGGCTGCAGTGCTCTGTTATAAGAATGAGAATACTTTATGAGAACCCCCCATCTTGCAAAAGGTAAATTTAATTTTGACAGCCAATATCCACCCCAAAAATAGGAGTTCTTTAATTGCTAATTCTCATTTTATACAAGAACTTATTTCGATGTTATTATTTTCCAGATATATTGATGTGATGCAACCGTCCATGCCTATCCAAGGAGCTGAAGATCGGTGGCCGTGATCGTCTCATATTATCTTATATTTTTATTTGGAATTTTATTTAGTTATGCATTATCCATTTTTACCCTTAATTAAGGGTCTAGTCTTATGTAAGCCTTAGGGGCATATTCGTCTTATTTTAGTCTTTTGATTTCTGAGGCCTATATATAGAGGTCCTTGCTTTTGTATTGACATTATGGGGTTTTAATAAAAAAAAAAATGTTCTGCACTTTTGTTCTTTGGGAGGACGTTAGTGAGAATCCATATATAGGGAATCGTAGTTTCCACCAGTCGTAGGATGGGTTCATGCTCGTGGCTTGAAGTCCCTTGGTGAAGGACAACGCATCACCCGTCAGTCTTTGGAAGAGTTCAAGGCTTGTTGTTCTATCTTCTTTTTTTTTTTCCTTGTTTTGTTTTTTGTTTTTTTAATTCTTATTTCTCTAAACCGCCATCTTCTCAAGCCCTCCACCAAGGCGTCGATCTTCTCACCCCATCACCTCTACACCATTGGCCTACACAAGCCTCTCCCTTCATATTCCCTCCCCTTGGCTGAAATTTAACAAGGCTCCACGCACCCGTCGGCCACTTCTTTGCCTAATATCACTTCCCTCCAAAACTCCTTTTTCCTTATTTAGGTGTCATTAATTTGGAAATATTTCAAATTTGAATTAATCTAATTTGAATTTCAAATCCACCTTCATTAATTACATTAATTTTGGAATTTTTTTTTTATTAATTAATCAATTATGAAATTGATTAATTAATTAATCTCATATTCAAATTTCAAATGCTTTCCTAATTAGTACATCTATTTTAAAAAGCATCATCAATTGATGCAAATTTGAAATTAATTCAAATTTGAGGTTATCAATTAACATTCAATGCAAATATCCACATACGCTCCTCACCTTCCCTTCCATTCTCTAATTATTTATTCTCTAATTTTACGGCCTAAGATTAGGGAATATTAATTACCTCTTCTCTCATTTATTTTTCTTGTTTAAAATTCGAAGTTACTAAATCTCTCCCACCAAAATCTGCAATTAATTTCGGATTTTGAAATTATCTACCCCACCTCCGCCCGTTTTACATCATATATTTAGTTTATTTAAGAGATAAAACCTCCCAATTGAAGTTTTTATCGTATATGTCCAGCATTTATTCTCTGATAACAACAACATCAAGCATTTATCCCATTTGCATGCAATCTTTGATACAAACTAACATCGATCCACTCATAATAATCTTTTAATTATGGTATTCTTAAAAGCCGAATCATCAAAGTAAGATCCATTAAATCTAATATATCAATACACAATTGGATATATAACATAAATACATTAACTCAGTATATGTTAGCTTGAATGCATATACATGCATATTTATGAAATTTCATAATTTCTGTTGGGCTTCAAACCAAACTCATTAAGGATCAAGCACGAAAAGAAAACTTGATTAGAGTTATCTTGCTTGATATCAAAGAGGAACAAAAAGAAAAGTGCCCTAAAAAAAATTTGTTCTTAACTCAACCTCAACCACTTTACTTGACATCACTCATCTTCTTGCTTCAGTTTGATCGATCACAACTGCAAGTTTCACTCAACCTAATCTCATGTGACTATGCTGGTTCTCACATGCTTTTGTTCGCCCTTACTCTAGTCGCTTGCTATCTTGCACAATTTTTTTCCTTTTAGTCTAGATTGGGACTTATGAGGCACAGTGTTCCCTTAATAGCGATGGTAGGTGTGGGCTCCAAAAATTCGGCCCCAGCCTCCGGCAGCTTTTGCTTTACTTTCGGGGAGGAGTTTTAACGAATTAAGTTTCGGGGTAAACTTTGGGAAGGCATATGAGTTTATAGATAAGACACTAACCAGAGATTTAGCCCTCATTTTGTGAGGACTTTATGATCTAAGTTCTGGTTTTCTATAGGCGCAAGCCCCTATAGTTAATTACCCCTCCTGATAACGAGATAGAACTTTCGATTAAGGCTAGTCGTCAATCAGATATGTTGTATTCATAGATACGTAGTATCATGCATATAGTAGCAGCATGGGTAATGGATATTGAAGTTTGGAAATTTTGATATTTAAAATTGGAAATTTCACCACCTTGCACTTAAAGCGGATGGTGGGGGAATGGATGATGGACCTTATCAAGATCCCATGGTTTCGTCGTCCCGGACCATCATGGTTCTTGGTCTACTTAGTCAGAGGAGGTAGTCGACCCAACCTGACATAATGATCCTTGTCGGTAGCCATGGGTTGCTTCGTCCAAGGGAACATTATAGACTTAGGGTGAATGTTTATCTAAGGGAACAAATTTGAATCCACCTTAGCTAACAAAGGGCTTTATGCTCTATTGGTCATATCCTATTGATTTATACTTCAAGAATTTGACGTCACTAAGGAGCGTATTGGTTCTGACCATAATCGGTATTTTGTGGTGTCATTTGGCGGCAAAATCACTCGGTTCAGAGGGCCTTAGGTCATAACCATTTATCATGCGGTGCCATTCAGCTGCAAAATCGATGGTCAGATGACACGTACCACGTCATTATTATCAAAAGATTGTTTGGGAATTGATCATAGTAATATTTTCAACTAGGCATTAGCTCTATGCGAGCTAAAGTAAACACCCGACAAACTGTTGCGGATGGTGGATGTGTTTTGCTTTAAGTGGTTGAATGGTTGGATTTCAGTTTTAAATGCTTTAGACTTTATATGATTTTTGGAATTTTGGAGCTTTGAATTTTGTGGGTATTTGAGTGGAGCTTGGAAGACTTTTGAATACTCAAAATTAACCCCTCCAGTTGAGATTTTCATTCAACACGGCCATCATTGAAGTGTTTGGGGTCATTTCCATTTATGGCTTGAACCATGTCAACTCTGTCAAGTTATCAATAGAGGAGCGGGTTTCATAGGCATTATGTCTTTGTTAGTGAAATTTTTATTGTTATAGATATTGAAGGCTTAATATGAATGCATTAAAATAAATATATCGGTCCTCACCCGTAAACTTGTCTGATGATTCAAACCTTGTCAACTCTTATTTATCTGCTTAGGAGGATTGAGTTTCATAGGCTTTATGAATTTTTTAGTGAATTCTCTTGATTATAGATCTTGAAGGCCTAATATAAATGTATTAAAACAAATATCTCGGTCAACATTGTAACTGTATATTTGTTTAGTTGTTCGAACCTTGTCGACTCATATTTACCTGCTTAGGAGAATCAGGTTTCATAGGCTTTATGCCTTTCTAGTGAATTCTCTTGGTTATAGGCCTTGAAGGCCTACTATGAATGTATTAAAACAATTATCTTGGTCGACGTCGTGATCGTATATTTTTTTATTGGTTTAAACCATATCGACTCCTATTGACCAGCATAGAATGATCGGGTTCATGTTTAAATTCACTTATTAACCTGCATATCATCCCTAGACGTCACGAGTATTCCTACAACATGCTCGCCGGGGCCCATACGGGTGTTTGGGGCATTTCATAATTATTTGTTGAACATTGTTGACTTCTATTTACTTGTGTAGGAGGATTGAGTTCAAATTTATTGACCCGCACAACATCTCTAGATGTCACGTGTGTACCCTTAACAGGCTCAATAAGGCCCATGCGGGTTTTTGATTGCATTTATCCCTTTTGTATACCTATGTGTATACAAATTATGGTGCATGTGTGGGGGTACTTTGAAATATTTGTAAACACCTTCTGTTCTCTTGCATGAACATTGCAGATCCGGTGGCATATTGTAGCAGCTTTTGGATTGAGTTGTTTGCTGGTTTGTATAGGTAGATTATCGTGAATTATTTATTGCTTTCTGTAAGTTAATTATAGTGCACTAACAAATCTCCTAGTTTTGCATATAGGTGAATCGTAGCGTTATCACCTGATTATAATGAGATACCTCGTTGTTCTGATGTAAAACTCCTTTTTCTCATTCAGCGGGAGGTCTTCCTTGAAATTTGTGACTGTTGTTTTGAAAAGAGATCCTTTTAAGATCTTCAGTATAGTAGACTTGTTGTTTTTGGTGTTTGTGGATGTCTGAATTGTTTTCTTCCTAAGTATAGAACCAAAAAGAAATTTTGGAACATCATGAAGTTTAATTCGAATTTGTTCAAATATCTCTTCCATTCTGCCACGAGGTGTCCTTCTTCGTACATCGAGTTTTCTTGGAACCCGACGTACTTGCAAATCTCAATCATCGCCATTATAGATGATATTTGTACTTGTGTCCACAGGGGTTCATTGTATGCCACTTGATATTATGCATTGTAAGTTGACAAATATTAGTTATAAGTAGGTTGTGGTCTACGTAATGGTTCGTTCTCTTGTTTGTGAATACGGCGTTATATAATCACGAATCTTCTAGCACCATATGAGTTTGTATTCACCACAATCTTTCTGCTGTCACTTGTAAGCTCATTATGTTTCTCGTATATGGCCTCTTACTATCGTTGAGAGATTGCATTGTCGCTTTTGAATGAATCATCAATTCACTTCTATTTTTTAAATCATTTGTCTGATCGGCCCGGCCGATCGCCAAATCGTCCCGGGACGATCAGACCAGAAAAATCATCCTGGACGGTTCCCAGAACTATTCTCAGATCGATATTTTCTACAGTGACGATCGACCTGGACGATTTCCAATCGTCCTGGACGATCCTGAGAGGAAAAATCCAAATCAGAGAGGAACAATAAGGGAACGAGGTCTCACAGACGTCGTGACCGTATATTTTTTTTATTGGTTTGAACCATATCGACTCTTATTAACCAGCATAGAATGATCGGGTTCAAGCTTAAATTCACTTGTTAACCCGCGTATCATCCCTAGACGTCACGAGTATTCCTACAACACGTTTGCCGAGGCCTATACGGATGTTTGGGGCATTTCATAATTATTTGTTGAACATTGTTGACTCCTATTTACTTGTGTAGGAGGATTGAGTTCAAATTTATTGATCCGCACAACATCCCTAGATGTCACATGTGTACTCTTAACACGCTCGATAAGGCCCATGCGGGTTTATGATTGCATTTATCCCTTTTGTACACCTATGTGTATACAAATTATTGTGCATAAGCGGGGGTACTTTGAAATATTTGTAAACACCTTCTGTTCGCTTGCATGAACGTTGCAGATTCTGTGGCATGTTGTAGCAGCTTTTGGATTGAGTTGTTTGCTGGTTTGTACAGGTAGATTGTTGTGAATTATTTATTGCTT